ATTGGCAAGTTGCCCGTACGATTATTTGAAATAATGGTACGCCAACATCAAAGGGTGACGTCACATCTGTATTTTAATATTGAATAATATTTTTATTGAATAACATTATTATTCAATAACATTATTATTCAATAACGTTATTCAATAACAATATTATCTAATAAAATAATTATTTAATAACACTTTTATTTTATAACACTTTTATTTAATAACATTATTATTTAATAACATTATTATTTAATGGCATGATTATTTAATGGCATGATTATTTGATAACGTTATTATTTAACGACATGATTATTTGATAACGTTATTATTCAATAACTTTATTATCTAATAACATGATTATTTGATAACCTTTTTTTTAATAACTTTATTATCTAATATTAATGTAAATATTATCATATAGCTCTAAATTTGCAAAACAAGAAAACTAAATGTTCAAATATTGTTAATTATTATATTATAAAGGGTGTTTCTTCTTGAAAAATTTCGCAGTGGCACCGGCAAAATATAAGTTTATATGTATTTCTTAATTAAGGTATTTCTTGCTGTATATAAGATTACATGGTATTATTGGCGCGAGCTGGTACTCTATAGCAATCGTGCTGGTTGGAATTTTTTTGTCGTCTGTCAATTCTTTGCTCTAATTCTGAGAGTTTATCCACATTCCCGTCGCGTTATAAGAAACGGGTTACATTCCCAATATATTTAGACACGTGTTTATGGCTAGATTCTGGAACAAAACTTGAGATCGGAACAGATGGTCTCCATATTGTTATAAAAATATAAACAATACATCATGTACGCGGTCTGTCGGCCATCTTGTTTGGCCTTTTGTTTCCGTGTTGTGTATGTTTTATCATACTTATGGCGTTTTTGTTGTGAATATTTTTCTTGGTATTTCCTTCATGTTACTATAGCGTTAATAAAATCCGGGTATGGTATTTGATTCACTTCCAATCTATATGGTGAATTCTCGTGGGCGAATCCCTGGAAGGAGTTTGGGGGCTATGGGAAAACGATTCTAGATCGGCTACCCCTCCTCCCCGTCTTTAATACATCAACTTGGCCAGTTTTCAATCGACAACTGACTGTGCGACTATATTTAAATACAACGCGACAAAAGGCACACCAGCAAACAAACGTCGTTATCAAGAATTTGTTAATCTGAATCTTCGACGACATTATTCCCAAATATTGCTATGAAAATTAGGAAAAAGGTCACGTTATGTGAATAACTCTTGATAGGCGTCCATGTAATATTACTAGACCTTTGGACCTCAACTGACAAAACTGTTAAACATCTGAAGAAACGTCTATTGATTTTGGGATACCACAGGGGTTTGTGCAAGGCCCTCTATTGTCCCTGCTCTATATTCCGTACCCAACACTACCTAACACTTAAAGGAAATAACCCCTTCTTTGTCGGATAACCCTTATACGCCGAATGTATAGCAAAATGCCGAATGCGGATGCCTGTAAAATATCGGCCATACCGATCTGTACTACGTACAAAAAGATGGGTTAGTGACCCCTTGATTAAATTTCTAGAGAGAAATAAGAGATGATCAAATTCTGCTTCATCAAGATTTAAGATAAAACACGCCCCGTTTTTCATTTATCGCGGCCATTGATCAATTACATTTTAATCCTCAAAACCAGCAGACATAGAGCAAAAATAAGACTTGATTTCTTTTAGGTTAAATCGGGTGATTTAATACTCATTGATCAAGACAACAAGAGAAATGATTAAACCATGGATTAACTTGTCAACCGAGTCTATTTTTTTTGTATACGATAGCGAAAAAAATGACCCGTTTATGTGACCCATTTCCACAACATTACAATTTTAGCTATTTAAACCTTTCAAATTGAAATGGGGTTTAACGTCCTCCGTTGCGGCTCCCACTGGGCTAATGAAGACGGATATACGCATTGTATGTGCATTGAGGGACATTTTGCGTGAACAGCAGCATTTCCACCTACTCTTCTTCGAATTCCAATTGCCAAGGACTCTTTTACGAGCACGCCGATATGTGCACAGAAGTTCGGCGCTGGATTACAAAACGGAAGGTCTTGGATTATATTATCGTGATTTTCCGACGTGGTTTTCCACTTATCAGTGGTGCAGAACGAAGGGCCTGACAAGAATGAGCGTCTAGGATGAGACGAAAACCGAGGTCAAGTGTTCATGTTTGCGTGCACGTAAAAGAACCCTTGAAAGTTGGAATTCTATGAAGGGTAGGCGGAAAATTTTCCTTAAAACACCAGGTCCGTTTTATAATAATTATACCGGTTGGTGCAGAAAAGTAGGATATTAGGCTGGAAGGACAGTGTCTAGTCGTTCGGATTGGACGAAATACCAGGGTCCCGCGTACACATTGGCGTGCACGTAAAAGAATCATTGGCAAATGGAATTAGTGCCGCTGTCCAGGCAAAATTTTCAACATAGCAGACTGTAAGCTTGTAGGACGTTGAATCCCATTTCATTTCATTTCATTTCATTTCAGGACGTTAAAGATTTCATTTGATTTTGTCGATCATATATTGATGCACATCTACTCATCAATGATTGACGTGTAATGGCTACCGTTTATGACGTCAATGATTGACGTGCAATGGGTATCGTTTATGACATCTTAATTAACTACTCTTAACTTCATTTCAAAATATAAACAAGATCTGACAAGCGATCCGTTACAACTGTTCATTGATTATTCATCATATATTCACAACTCCGTCAGCTGTCCATCGTCGTGCCGTTTACGCTCCAAACAAATTTTAAAACTTACAAACGGTGTGTTTTACAGCATTGGCTTGCTAGCAACTCTCCAATCCAATATCTCTGTGAATACTGAACGGAACGGAATGATTTGGTTAACTGATATTCCTTTTACAATATTGCAGTTTACAAGCAATTCAAAATGACTCAAATGACTAAGATTAATCTTGTCTTGAACAAAATCCTGTAAACCTCAAATGACTAAGATTAATCTTGTCTTGAACAAAATCCTGTAAACCTATTTATTTTATTATTGCGCTGGGTGACATGTAAGGTGCCCCCCCCCCCACACACACACACTGCTTGGTAACTGTTCAACAGATAGTCTGGTTCTTTAAGTTATGTCGTTTTAATTGTTGTTGTTTTGATGGGTTTTTTTCTCTTTTTTTGGGGGGGGGGGGCACGATATTGATGATTAAATTTTTGTTTCGAAATATTAGGTTAAGGTCGGTCTATCAGTTTTCTAAGTTTACTACTATCCGATACAACACTGTTGCGTTTGGCACCAGACTTCCGTTGTTGTTCATAGCATTTAACGTCCGGGGCTGATACCGCAGACAAGGTATTTGTAGTATATTCAGGGGTCTTTTCTGTTCGAGGAAACCGGATTACCCGGAGTAGACTCACGGGGTTGAGAAAGAGCCCGTATCTTTAAGTCGTATACGCTCACATCAGGTATTGAAACAACGCAAACGTGACCGGCCAGCTAGAGTTCGAAAGGCGACAGTCTAGGCCATCCAACCAGACCGCCATTAATTCCTTGGATTAAAAAAACGCTTTACAATTGGACCTCAACGAAGAGTGGGCAAACCTGCCGCTGTCCAGGCAAAATTCCCTTCATTCAGGACATTGCGTAACACAGTTTGTACGAAAAATAGGACGTTAAACTCCATTTCATTTCATTTCGTTGATTACGATGAACAGTCATGCCAATTGAATTGGCCACAATTTTGTCACAATGCCATACAGTGTGCTGTGATAGAAATTGTTGCCAGGACAGCGGCGCTATGGACTATTCTTATATCGAATTCCAACTGCCAAGGGTTCTTTTACGTGCACGTCAATTTCTACACGAGACCTCGGGTTTTCGTCCCATCCGAACGACTATAAACTGTCAATGTCTGGTCCTCCGTCCAGCACCAGTGACAAGAGGATTCCACGCCGGGAAATCTCGTGGAACTTTCCCGGCCAACATCGGGAGCGCAGCGCTACCTCTAGGTTAGAACTTCTCGTCATGCGTGATACTGTTGTATGTGAAAGGGGTATATTTTTGACACAGAGATGAAATAAGGTCGCGTTTATTTTTTTTAATACTAATGAATGGAATAGGTTACACACTGAATCTGATATCTATTAGAATTTTGTTATTTTTAGTTTATACAGGGGGCGACCTATGCTGACCCCAGTATCCGCAGGGGGGAATAACTCCCGCGGTGTAGCAATGTATTCTATGGAAACATGTTAAATGGAATTAGACTCGCGTGTTTACTGAAGTAACGCATACCACCTTTGTATACATACCTGATGAAAGGATAGGGGGAATTTTCACAAAAGATGGTGGATATCTCATTAGTTCTGACTATACTCTTGTAGTATTAATAATCACATGCTTGAATAATTCCAACAATATCTTTCATAAAAAATTCCATGTTAAATTAGACCCACAGGCGGCAAAGGGTTAAGCTGCTAGGGGCGAGATTTTCTTATTATTGAGAAAAAATTTACATCTATTTAAGGACAGTCTAGCCATATCACTATATTTATATCTCTGGTTGGACATTTTCTTATTTTCTAGTTCTCACGGTCTATCCCTTTCCCTTTCACAATACCTGTGCGCAAATCTCAACAGGATTGGCCTGGTTGGTCGAGAAGGTTCGTCAGGATTTTCCAGAGTGGTTTCTCGTTGTTAATAGTGTAGGACGGACAATATGGCCGCGTCTAGACATCCGGGTGGGGCGTAAAACCCCTGAGAGTTAAAATTCGTTGAAGAATAGGGGCACGTGTGCTGTGGGGGAACTTTTTTCCAGGACAGCGGCGCTATGGACTACTCTAATTTTCGAATTACAACTGTAAGGGGTTCTTTTACGCGCACGCCAATGCGTACAAGGGACCTCGGATTTTCGTCCCATCTGAACGACTATATGTTGTTCCTTGCCATGCCCTCCATCCTGCACGACAGACAAAGTGGGAACCACGACGGAATATCCCGATGAACTTTCTCGGTCAACACAGGGATCAAACATGTCTCCATTTAATGTACGTATAATACGTTATTGAGTATATAATGTTACTTACCTTGGGTGTATATATATTAAGATATAAACAGTCCTCGCTGGTTGTATTAAAACCCGGTACATAATAACCAATATAATTCACGCCCATCTCGGGTTGGGCACAGGCCGGGGGCAGATCATAGGCATTTAACACTTCATCCTCCCACGCTTCAGGTGGCTCCGGGGGCTACAAAATAATAATAATAAAAAAATATATATAAAAATATTCTAGAAAAAAAAATATGACGCTTATACACTTGATACGATTAGAAATAATTTTGATAGTTAAACGCTGTTGGCACTCAAATATCTAACCCAATTTTGGGCTGCCATTCAAAATGACCGCCTCTGAAACATAAAATATTCATGGGGTAGGGTGGGCCTACACAATATTTAAAAAATAACAAAAAAAAACCACCCAAACATTATAACAAAAATATGACGATAATAAACTTCATGCGCTTAGAAATAATTTTGCAAAATGCTTAAACCCGCATTTTTGAGACAATATGTAATTTTTCACAGAATAATTAACGTTCAAATGTACTTAAAGGGGCATTAGGTAAGATTAGATAAAGAGCTGACTGTTCTTGATATAATAGTTAATAAAAATAAATAGAAAATGAAAACAGAATATGCTGAAAATTTCGGTAAAATTGCTTCATTCTGAACCGAGATATTAGGAATTCAATTTTGGTTTAGCCTCCATCGTCATTACTAACGTTGGTATGATAATAAACAAAGTCTCGATTATCCATTTTTACGTTAAATCATCCACCACAAAATGTATTCAAATCCACTAAATATCCCAGGCTAACGATGACATCGAGAGTTGATTATGGTCTTGATAACTTAATTAATGTCTAATCAATTATTTAGATAACATTTATTGCCTAAAGAAAGACCTACAATAGGCAGATTTAGCTCTTGCATAATGCACGTTTATATGGAGTATTTAACGTTTAATTAAGAAACGAAAATCAAAATATCAACTTTAGGTAATCTCCCGGATAATAAATCGGTTTAACAAGAGGTCCATCAAAATGTTTTATTGGTGGCACTGGCTTGTTTTGATCATAACCCGTTTATATCGTCTCAGATGATGCCGAATTTAGACAAATTTTCGATTATTCATATCTTTGCAAATATTGAACGGAAACTGAACTATTTTTGGACTAATGTTCCTTTTAGAGATTCAACAATACTGTGGTTTCGTGTGCAATGGAAGAGCAATAATATTGAGCAATATTACCCCGACAGAGATGTTTCAACATACTAGTTTTAAAAATTCCAACTCCCAAGGAATCGATAACAAGCACAGTCAAGTTTTAAAAGGGAAGATTTCGACATAATGCACCCACGCAAAGACAGCCACACTATTTTTATTATTATTTTATCAATTTTAGAAATTGGCTACAATCGCTCATATATATGGAACTAGCTGTTTACCTGCCGTTACAGGGAATTTCATAAAACCGGAAGTAGCGTCACCCCACAACAGGCTCCATTATTATTATTTTATAAATTTTAGAAATTAGCTACAATCGCTCTTATATGTGGAACTAGCTGTTTAACTGTCGTTAAAGGGATTTTCCTAAAGCCGGAAGTAGCGTCACTCCACAACAGGCTCCAGTTGCCCATACTTCAAATTCCAGCCTCAGGGCCGCCCTAGTGTAACCACAAACCCCAGACAAAAGTACAGTTACACATACAGATGATCGCGTGGTTTAACATATTAACTTCTTATATGATCGTCGAGGTGATAAAGACAAAATTAAAAGAAATGACACTATTCTCTATAATAACCACTGCCCAGTATGATATATAATGAAATTAATAAAAGAAATGTTAATGCAGACGGGTAATACCATATCTGAAATTTCATTCCCTATTTAAACGCAAAAATACCAGTCATATGAACTTTTGTTATTTGAAGATAAACATAGGCTACATGTTAAGAGATTATTTTTATCGAGATATAAATGTTTTGGCATTTGGAAAAATAGAAATTAAGTGACATAAATTCTCTCCAACAGAGCTATAATTTAGAAGATAGAATTAAATAATACCTCAGTTACAATCAAAGAAAATAGTAAAATCCTGAGATAGAAAAAACAACAGACTCTAATTAAAGTCAAAAATAAATTCTAGGCCAAGCTCATACGAGCGCGTTTTTTAAATGAAGATGGTGTCGGAATGAACCGAAACACTTTGCATGTGACGGTTCAGATAGCGCCACTGCTATCACGTGACTAATCAAAATGGCGGTCATGCGTTGACTGCTGATTCGCCGTCTTACCACTTTTTTTTATTTTTTATAGTTGAGCAAGGGTAAATAAAGATAGCGGTTAGATTACTCATAATTAAATCATATTATAAATAATACAAATCCACCGATCACAAGTAAATACACGGTCAGAGAGAATGAAGAGAGAGGGAGAGAGAGAGAGTGCGGGGGAAATGTCCACTTAACTCTAACCAGGTTATTCGGGGCTAGCCTATGGTACGTTCCATTTTCACAACTCACTTGCCCGTTGTGTGATAATTAAGAAGTGTAGAAAACCCCCAAAAGAGTTGTAATTTAATACAGGATAATAACCCAGAGCTAGAAGATAGCACTCACATCCCACATGCGATGTTTTGAAGCAACAAGTAATTCTTAGGCAGATGGCGGCGATGTGTGTAGGCGTACACTCAATTTGTAATAATACAGGATAAAATCAAATAATACTGCAATTACAATTAAAGAAAATAATAATAAAAATAAAAAACACACACAAAAAACACCAAAAAAACCCCAACAGACCCAAGTTTTTAAGTCGCGATTTTTTGAAGCAACAAGTAATTCTTAGGCAAATGACGGCGGTGTGTGGGCGAACACGCAGTTTGTAGGGACTAGTCAAAATGGCGATGCGGTGACCATGTTTTCTCCCACTATCGGACGAACGAACGCACGGGATACACTCAGTGTCGTGGGGGTGTGGTGAGGTCTTCCGTCCAGATAATTCAAAAATTTGCCTGAAACTTGTTGAAAATAATGATTGATCTGGTATTAACAAATATCTTGATTACTCCTAAATTTTCTATGCATGTATGCCGGACTGCCTGTGTAAACATGCCGACCCTGCCTCCTTCAGAGCCCACGTCAGAGGCCTCATAACTTAACTAGCACAGGGCCTCATTTGTCACAAATCCGGCACTTGATACACTAGTATAAAATGAAATGAAATGGAGTGTGATGTCTAATTGTTCTGCACCGACCGGGTTATACTGAGGACGACACTACTATAAAGCTAGCAACCCCTGCCTACTATAAACGCACTCTGTCAACTTGTGGTAACAGTAGGGCCTGGAGGTAGAAGACATGTTGGTTAATATAAAACACGCAGTTAAAACAAGTAGAAACAATAATCTTATCCTAATATACATACATACACCGTAAAATAGAAAAACTATCAAATTCAACAGCCACAATTTATTATAGTTTTGATTCTTCGCGTAGGGATCTTTGACAGGGGGAGTAACCCATGATGTTGGGTAAGTACCCTGGCATGGAATTCCGGAAATTTGCATTGACGACACACATCGCGTTATATCACTCAAGGCACTCCCTCGCCACCTAAATAGCAAGTATCGATACTTTGCGTAGGGATCTTTAACAAAGGGGTGGGGGTGTTAGGTAAGCCCCAATGCTCTTCGTTTCACGGTACTTTGGGATGGAACCTTGGACACTTGCATTGATGACATACGTCACGTTATGTCACTCGGCCTACAGCCCACAGCCCATCTACATTTAGATAGCATTTAATCATACTGACATTCTTTGAAATGAAATCATGTGTATCGCCATGTTTTTCATCACCAACATGGCTAATGAAAACACGTAGTGTGTAATAGAGAAATTTGGCCTGGAAAGCGGCAATACAGCATTCTCTTATTTCGATTTTCACCAGCCGGGAGATCGTTAACGTGCTGCATATGGTGTACACGGGGAGACATTGTCTTGTACCAATGCCAAGGGCGAAACTAAACTAGAAAATCCCAAGTAAGTTTCTCAGTCAAATACTGTTAAATCCATTTCTTAAGGCCACCTCTAGATTTGGTCAAAGGTCACGAGATGTAAACAGGGCTAGCGCTAACTCTTACTCACAATCTCATCACCAATCACGTGTCGTTACCTTATTAAAATCCTTGCGAAGACCTTGACGAAATGTGAAGGTGGCCGTAAGACGCAGACCCTGCCGTCAAATACCGGATCGAAACTAGGACTTCCTGGTTAGTCGGTCAGTCCCATACTCAACAAGCGCCCGTGGTTCAAAGAGCGATCGTGGCTCACTGACCTTCTTTGGTATTTTACAGTGTAGCAAATTAAGGTTAATTCCGTCAAGTGCCGTGGGTTAGGAAATAAGTAGCTGGTGTGATTGTAGGAGCCGGGATTATTGTGTTTTTGTCAATAATCGATCCAAATTGAAATTCTCTTAGCAACAAAACATATAAGCAACTACGCAGAACTTTTTGAAGTTGGATGGTGACGCTCGAGATGTTTCACTCTTTGGCGTTCAGGAAGGGGCGGTACGGAGGGTATAAGACACTGCGCACCACGTGCCACGTAATACGTACGTTAGCAACATGTACACGGTACCGTGCACTATGTACTGAAAATGTCCGAGGACGGCATCATTTAAAACAGGTTACCCAATCTTAGGTGTCTCGTATCTTGTATGTTTTACATTTGGCATTCCTCAATAATTCCGGTAAATTCTCGACTATTTGATTATAAACATTTGGGATTAAACGTCAACTCAACACTAATCAGGTCATTTTGGGACTAACATATGACTATGGGTTTTATTTCAATAATTCGCTTGAGCGCAAGGGGACTTTCTGTTGATCAGGAAAAAAAACAACACTTTATTTAAATGATGAGACGTCTGATCACCAATTAGTCTCTATCGACAAGACTCTAGACATCCGGTATATGATTTAATTTCCGACTGGATGTCAATAGATACCGGTAACATATAAGGAATAAACTGTCCTACTTTAACGATACGAGGGATAATTTCACGTTGTCATTACAAAAACAGGCCAGCTTTTTGATGATTTTTCGATAAAATGATTTTCTCCAATCAACTGCCGTAAAACAATTAACATTGATCCAGTGTTTTGGCGGAAGTTGACCTCTCG